ATATATATATATGTTTGGAAAATTTTGAAAATGATAGTGAAAATATTTTGAAGAATTTTTAAATGATTGTATGTAATAAATAATTAAACAATATTAAAATTTTGTATGTGCATGTACTAATGTGTATCTACCCTGCTGGGAAGCTCTGCTCGAAACGCTTTTTGCATTTGTGGAATTTTCTAATGATTAACACTGTTTATCAGCTTTAAAATTACAAGTTTATTTAATAAATTGGCCCTTTATATTTATATTCTGATCATTTTATTTTTTTGTCTTGCCTTTACATTTATTTATTTACCTGGAGTAATTTTATCCTAACAGATTCTTGTGCCAAAAAAACAACAATTAATCAATTAAATATTATAATATTTATTTGAAAATATTGCAAAAAATATTCTACATATACAAATTTATAACAGAAAACATTCTATTAATTATTATACATTTTTATACAAATTAATTCGAATTTTCGGTTTTTAGAGTTGATACGACGCAAAATAAAACTTTATAAATACAAATTCTAATTATAATAAACGTTTTTATGATAAATTTAAGTATTTTTTTTTTATTAACTTTCTCTAAAAGACAAGATAATGTATTTAACAAGTTGGCATATGAATTAAACAACATATCGAGATAGATTGTCTGCGAAATAATTTCGTATGATAATAATTGTATGTAAGAGGAAAATAATCGGCACTTACCTATAGCTCCAGGTAGAATAGATCCAGTTTCGGCAAATCGAGCTAAAATTTTGCTAACACATCCATGAGATACCAGAAGATGACGTGAGATGTCACAAGGTCGATAACCATAGAGAGCCAGTTCCAGAATACGAAAACGGATGTGGAAAGGCAGTGGTTTTCCATTAGCGAATGAACCACCCAATTGATTTATACCACCTTGGCCTATAAAAAAAGTTATGATTGCTGCTTGATACGAGATGTTCGCTTATATTTTTTAATGTTGGAAGAAAAAAACTAGAATATTTATTGTCCAGGAAAATTCTAAAATAAATTTTAGAAGTTTCGAAAGAGTAAAAGTTGTATTAACTAGATAAAATCTTTGATAATTAATGGAAATGCCCGTATGCGATTTCAAAAAGATCATTAAGTTATTATTAATATAAAATAATTCTTCATTTACTTGTCTTTATATATTTTTCCTCTGTCGCATTTTCCTTCTATTGAAAAAAAAGAAATGTTACTTGAGGCGAATTATAGTATATAAACTGAAGGGTTTTTTTAAGTAAGGAAAGTGTTTTATAAGACAAGAAACTTTTATTAAATTTGAAAATTTTGTTAATTAAATATTCCGATTTTCATCTACTATTAGATGAGTTTTCGTCCATGAAATTTGAACATGCAATGCGCGAATTCTCAGTAAATGTACATTTTCATAAATATTCTTCTGGTATATTTTCATTTAAATTCTATAAATCACACTTTTTATGCTTTATAAATGGTTTTCTATTAATTATTTTTACAACCGAAAGGCTTTTTTTTATCCGTAATGATACTTGCAAATTCAAGAGTTAATCGCTTGCAAGTATTAGATTATCGCACGCCTACATACAAATTCGCAGATGAACTATTTATTATAGTTAATTTTAACAAATTTTAACAAATTTGCAATGCTTATCCTTAACTGTAATCTTAATAAATGTAGTGTTAACTAAGCTCGAGTAAGTATTCAACTCATCAAACTTTAAAACATAAGTCTTATTTGATTTAAACATTGAATCAAACTTATCAAAACCTATTAAAATTCTGTAACTATAAGTTATTCTTTAACTGTACAATAAAAGAAATTATTATAAATATGATGTTAATTTAAAATTACAACTAATTGTATTATGATACTTGATAGAAAAGTTGCTGGACTCACCTCTCTGCGTCATGTTAGATTCTCTTCGGGACAAAGTTTGGTTCACATTTTATAGAAGAAGATGCGATTGGATCCGAAGGGATGATTGTCATCGGCAGTAGAGGCGTGTGAAAGAACAGGTGTCCAAAACATGTCAGTCTGCCACGCTGCAACATTAAGGTCTTTCTACCAACCGCTAAATCTTGACCCCTAGAATAATTGGATAGGGGATTTGTGACTCTCCCATACTTTCAAAGTCACGGGAACGATCTTCGAATCGAAGCTTAGAGAAAGAAAAAGAAAAAAGTGATCTGCTTCAAGTGATATTGTAAACACTCTTTGTGCCCATTCTTGTCTCGTGCCGCTCGTTTGCGGGATTGATTTTATTTCTTTTCTTGTATCTGTTAAACTCTGCCACAAAATTCTTCTATAAATTATCATAGTTTTTTCCTTCTTATAAAATAAATTCAATTAATGTAATTAATTAAATTTAATTAATTAAAACAATCGAATTCTCTACAAGACTTGAACTGGAACAATGTCGACGCTTTTTTCTTAATATTTTCCGTCTTTTTTTTTCTAGTTTTGCTAATTTATGATTGCTAATTGTAATACTGTAAATTGGTTTATGATAATGTGAATATAATGTTTAAAAAGTATTTATTAAAGTTTTTTTTTTTAAATTTGGAGACTTTTTATAGAAATGAAAGTAAAATATTTCAAAATTTATTAGTAAAAATCGTTTTTTAATTAATAATTGAATTGCTTTCATGAGCATTTTTATTTGTGTATTTTGTGAAATTAGATCGTTATTATCCTCTAATTATTCTTATTTATTAAAATTATTGATCATAAATCTAAGAAATTTAAAACTATACAAGAAAGAGTGAAAAAAAAAATTGAAAAACAAAAATATATTTTTGCCAAGTTTTATAGAAGAATACATATTCAGAAATGGTCATTCGAGAACAATCAGGGGATTATTGACAGAAAAATAAATATTAATAGTAGCATTATCAGATAGATTTTTATATAAATGTCAGACGAAAAAGGCCATAAGTGGAAAAAATCTTTGAAGTGAAAATATTTTCATTTTATTATATTTATTTTCAATCAACCGATGAAGCAGCCCATGTAATCTTTATCTCATAATCCGATAATCCAAACGACGTTGGTGACGTGCAACAGTGTACTTCCGATATGAAACGTCATAGCGGAAATTGCGTTCTCGGTCACATGATACGATCAACAGATGCACGAGATTAAAGGAAAAAATAAGATGAACATAAAGATAGCTTTCTTACTTTTCAGTGCCTTTATAGAATTTTCACTTTATTTTATTTTATTTTTTATATTCGTAGTTTTTTTTACGACGAAAAGATTCAGCAAATTACTTTGTTTCGAGTAATTAGAAGTTGGTTAACTGTAAATAAAAGACATTTTCAACGAAATGCTACAAAAACTGTCTTTCTTGATCTATTTCACCATTAATGGTGACCATTTCCATTGACAAGTTGATGTATGTTCATTAATCCAGCCCACTTGTTTCTCACAACTTCCTTCCTTACTTTCACTTCAGGCCCGCATCTACAAATCTATTTTAGAGAATTATCATGTACTTTAGAAGTTTTACTGACGAGTGAGATCTATATATTATATTATATTATAGTATCTATATATTAACTTCATACATAGACATATTATTCAATATAATAAACACATCTCTCGATTTTAAGGGCGTTTAAACCACTGAAATATTCTTATAAATTTCTAAATGACTTAATAAAATTTTTCATTTATAAAAGTATTGATTTTGTATTAAATAATCTTAAAATTTTACTTAATTTTTATTTCAATTTTAATTCAGTAATGTTATGCAAATCTATAAAGCGCGCCGTTGGGTATTTAGGATGATGAAGCAAGATATTTGAAATTAATTTTTAATATTTATTTATTTTGTGAAAAACTGAATGAAATATAATTAAAATGTAGAATTTTTATTACTTTATAGTTTTAATTATTAAAATATTTATTTATCTGAATAAATGTATATTTATATTCACTGTTAACTCCTGCATCCATGAGAGTTAATTTAAATTAACGCTGAGGAATTAAAAAATAATAATATATACTTTTTTTTTTACAAACTACGATATTTATTTTTAATCACAAAAGCAATTACAAACATTTATTTTGAAATACAAAAAATACATTTTGATTTAAAGTTGAGACAACACAAAAAAAATACAATTCTTCAAAACGTTTTTTTCCGCGATTTAAAAAATAAAAAAATAATTAAAAAATGTATTAAAAATTCCTGCAATTTGGTTAGAGATTCTGTTCGGATAAAAGTATAAAAGTATTTCGAAAAAGCTGCTCTAGATTTTACAAATTTCAGCCCGAATATTTAAAAAAAAAAAAAAAAAAGTTTGATGAAAGTTAACTTTGATAAGTTTTGTCTGAATGGACGGATTTGGCACTCAGTTATGTCCATCAATTGGTTTTTCTAAATCAGTTTTCGGCTTGATCTCAATCAGTTTGTATCCATCCACGTCATATAATTCACGTGACGTAAATTTGGCAACAATCGATTTTTCTCCCGATGATTTTGGTGTCATTTTACAAGTGATGCGCGCTTCTTTACCAGGTTCGATGTTTCTGTATTAGAGAAAATAAGAACACAGATTTCGCTTTCAAATATTAACAACCGATTATTAATATCATTAATATAATATTT